AAGTTTGCATATGAATTGCAACTCTACAGTTTCATGCTGCAATCTGTTTTGGAAGTTTTTTTTGAACTTGGATGCTGTAAACATAACTGAAATCCACTTCCAGAATGAAAAGGTAACTGACATAATGATTTCCGATACGGGGGACTAATGAACTTTTCAGTTAAATCAAGCCATATTTCCAATATGACTTACAAGGAGGTGAGCCTCTGAGATTATTTGGGAACATATGCAGGATAGTTGTACTCTAAGGCTGAGATTAACAGCAGATACGTCGTTGAAGAGCTGGTGTGATGTACAGTCAGCGAAAGATAACCTGTTGAAAATAGAATTCTGTGTGGTATTTGCAGAACAGGAATTGATAACTTGAAGCTATCACTACACTAGGGCTGTGTCTAGACTGGCAAGTTTTTCTGCAAAATCATCTGATTTTGCGGAAAAACTTGCCAGCTGTCTACACTGGCCATTTGAATTTCCGCAAGAACACTGACGATCTCATGTAAGATCTTCAGTGTTCTTGCGGAAATACTGTGCTGCTCCCATTCGGGCAAAAACCCTCTTGCGCAAATCATTTGCGCAAGAGGGCCAGTGTAAACAGCACGGTAATGTTTTCCGCAAAAAAGCCTCGATCGCGAAAATGGCAATCGGGGCTTTTTTGTGGAAAACCGCATCTAGATTGGCCATGGACGCTTTTCCGCAAAAAGTGCTTTTGCAGAAATGCGTCCTGCCAATCTAGACGCGCTTTTCTGAAAATGCTTTTAACGGAAAACTTTTCCGTTAAAAGCATTTTCGGAAAATCATGCCAGTATAGACGTAGCCTAGGGTTTTTTACTGGGGGAGGACAGAAGTACTTACCATTGACACCCCTACTACATCTTTACAGTTGTAACAAAAGAGGGAGTATGGCTGAGACAGAATTCTCACCATGATGCTGTCTAAATCTGCTTACTTTACACAAGATGGTAAAAATGTTGGTGCCTTATCTACATTAGTGTTGCCATTGGTGGAGCTGCACGGGCATTAGCAATCATGGGGAAAGCCCTTCAAATCTGTGGATGTGGACATGGATATCTGTGGATCATTTTTACAGATGCAAATATAAATTTTGTATATGTGCAGGGCTCTAGGGATAGGAAATTCATCGGAATAAAGCTTAGTTTAGACCAGCTTTTGGTAAGAATTTGTCAGTATTTATACCAGTCACTTCACCTTATCCTCTGCTGGAAATGTACTTCCTATCAGGATTTTTTAGAAATACAGGTAACACTTCAAATTTTCTACTGTGTTTTCCATAGTTTTTCAGAATTAACTTTTGCCAGAGCATGATATTGGTGGAAAGGAGAAAAGAAAGTGAGACAGATAACGCAATAATACCTTATTAAGAAAAAAGTTTTCAGATATCTTTTTCTGCAATGCCATTAATTATTCAGAAATTGAAATGAAAACTCAGCTTTACTCACAATTTAAAGTATTCCCTGAGGTCCCCAAAACACAGGATCTCAGCAACAGCATTTTTTAAAAATTTATAGTGCAAAGGTTTGAGCACTGTACCCATAATTATCACCTGTCATTTTGTCCTGCAGTCTCTTGTGCTGACTGTGCACTGTTCTCTGTTTTTGTGGTTTTTTTCCAAAAGGAGAAGGAAAAAACCACTGACCTAACCCATACCAAAATTCTTCAAATTATTGGGTCCTTTAATAATCCTTACATCTCAATGTTCCAGTAAACAACAGATCTGGTGAAAGTAAAGCAGATATGCAGGGCTGAAAAGTTACATCGATATAGCAACATGTCTCAGGAACAATCAGTCTGTGAGAGACATAGTTAAGCTGACCTAGCCCTTGAAATACATAACATTAGACTGATGGAAGAATTCTTTCAAACTCTCTTGGGGAAATGGATTACTTAGAGCAACAGGTGAACCTGTTCTATCACGTTAGTAATGCTACATCTGGACTGCGGGCTTCTTTCGGAAGAAGCTTTTTTAGGAAGAGATCTTCCTAAAAAACACTGCGAAAGTCCATCAAAAAAATGATCTGCTTTTTCGAAAGAGAGCATCCAGATTGAATGGACGCTCTCTCACATGTAAGCTGTGATTGCTATGGATGGAATGGCCACCAGGGCATCTGTGCTTTTTCCTCTTTCCTCTTCTTCCAAAAGAACTCCCTTCTTACCCATCCACACATGCCTTTTTGCGAAAGAGCTCTTTCGCAGAATGGTTTCTTCCTCGTAGAATGAGGATTACCAATGCCAGAAAAAACCCTCTGTTCTTTTGATTTTTCTTGTGGAAGAACGCAATTGCAGTGCGGACATTTCTCAAGTTTTGTTGGAAAAACAGCTGTTTTTCCGACAAAACTCTAGTGTATACATACCCTAAGTGTCTACACTTGACCACTATCACAGTATAGCTGTAGCATTTTAAGTGTAGACATGGAAGACAAGGGTTATGTAATGGGGCTGAGCATAGTTTTGTTGCAAAATTATTGAGATTTGTGACACTTTTAACAAATGCTAACAAAGAAAGGCAAGCCTGGTTTGTGTTTCAGCTAGTAGGGGAAGACTTTATGGCAAGGTAGGCAAATGTTTTGGCCTGAGGGCCACGTGTCAGTATGGAAGTTGTATGGTGGTCCACAAATGTTTACAAAATTGGGAGTTGAGATATGGGAGGGGATGAGGGCTCCAGCTGGGGCTGCCGGCTCTGGGGCAAGGAGTTCTGGGTGCAGGAGGGGGATCCTGGGATGGGTGTTGGTATGCAGGAAGGGATGAGGGCTCCAGCTGGGAATGCAGACTATGGGGTATGTCGAAGGGTGTGGGGTTTTGGATATAGGAAGGTACTCTGGACTGGGCCCGAGGGGATCGGAGGGGAGATCACGGCTGAGACAGAGTTGGGTGCAGTAGAGGTTAGTTTTACTCAAGGTTTGCACAATTATGTGTAGACAAACCCAAAGCCTCAAGCTTTGGGCACCCAAGTTTCAAATTTTTGGCTTATATTTTTAAGTCTAGCAGAAGCAGAATCAAAATAGCAAATAAAGCAAATCTTGATGGGCTATATTCAACTGTTTTAAGTTAGAGATGTTCATCAACAAAACACTTGGAATCAAGCCTCTATTAACTTTGGGGAAGACCAGATCTATGCTTTGCAGATTTAATTCATCTTGATTTGTGACAAATGCCAAAAACCCCACAGGACTGATTTTTCAGCCAAATCTAAAATATCGCTCTGGCTTTCAATCCAGAAGACTAGGCACACATTCTCCTCGTGCTGTTCCCCAATTTTTCTCACCAGTGGGTTATGGATTATCCAGATGGATGATGACAACCCTAGCTATGCCCAGAGAAATCTGAAATATTGCATTTCATAAGTGCCTTACCTGCTTCATTGCAAACAGCAGTTCATTGCCTCTTACTGTTCCCTTGTTTCAGTTTACTGCACTGAAGCTGTGTTCGACATTTGAGAATTGAATTGCAGTTGGTCAGCTGATCTCAATGAAAAGCTTCTTAATTCAATTTCTGACATGTTAGCTTTAGATTCTGGGCAATTGTGTACAAAATCTTTTACAACCTGCTGTGCTGGACATTGATATAGGATACTATTAAAGGGTGAGATGCCATTGCTCTTTCTGGTCCCCTACACCCATTACAATTGTCAATAGAGCCTCACAGTCTTTAGTGTGTTTATCTTTACAACAGGTTTGCAAGGCTATTCCCACTTTACACGATAAATGGGGCGTAAAGTGATTTGCCCAAGGTCACACAGGAAATCTGTGGCAGAACTGAAATAAAATCCCAGGCCCCCAAGTCCCAGGCTAGCAACTTAACCAGATGGTCTTGTTCCATCTTTGCTCTCACACCGATGATAAATGCAACAAACAATGACAAAGGAGGGGGCCAGCAGGGATAACTGACATCACAAACTTCTCTGGGATATTTATCTAAGGCTTTGTCTACACTGGCAAGTTTTGTCAAGGAAAAGTGCCTTTTGTAGAGAAAACTGTGAACGTTCACACTGCGACATGATTTTTGTTGCAAAAAAATCATGATATTTTTGCCAATACGAAAAAAAGCTTCCGGCTCCACAAAGGACTTTTTTTTCTATTCCCCGTTCTCGAGGCATTTTGTCATTGCTTTGAACTCTAGGTAGTGGCCCACTGTTCCCAACAGGACCCTCTGGTCATCAGTTTTAACTCCTCTGTCCTGCACCCAGGTCATTAGCTACTCAGCCCGCTCTCTGGCAAACCCCAAGAAATTTAAATCACATTTTCTGCTGCCTGAGCAGCTGGACACAGACACACCCCTGTGTCCTGGCTCAGTGTACAGTGGTTTCATGGTGTCTACCCAGATGCCCATGTCTGCCCATCACACTAAATACTCCACCTCTTGGACTACCACAGAGCTGTTGGATCTGATCAGTGTAAGGGGAGAAGAGTCTGTTCTGTCCCAGCTGCGAGTCACCCTTAGGACCTGGGACATGTACAGGCACGTTTCTCGATCCTTGTGTGAAAAGAGGTATGTGCGGGACATGTTGCAGTGCAGAGTAGGGATATTAAATTTTGGTTAATTGAATAGTCGATTAACCTCATGAATTCTTATCGGTTGCTTGACTATTCTGTGGTCCCTGGGGGTGGGGTTGGCAGCCAGTGCACTCCAGCCCCACTCCCGAGGAGCCCCCTGCCACTCTGCACTGCTGCCTCTGTATCAGAAGCAGCAGTGCAGGGTGCCAGGCGGCAGCTGGTCAACAAGAGGAGCCAGTTAAAAAACCAGCTCCCCTTGAGAACCGGCATCCTGTCACCCTGCAGCAGCTCCTGTTGTGGGGCGGGGGAGGGGGGGAGAGAGGTCTGAGCTCCCAGACCCAGCACAAGCCAGGACTGAGTCAGCATGCTGGGCAGCCTGCTAAAAAAAAAAAGTAACTGTCAGGGGGGAGGGGAAGAATGCGTGTATTCTATAGCATTAACCTATAACTTTTTGCTTATTGGATAATCATTTAATTGGCTACACTATTACAGCCCTAGTGCAGAAAAAAGATTGAACCGAGACAAGCTGATCATAAGGCCCTGGAAGAGAACCAATGCTCTGGTGCTTCACTGAAGATATGCCTTTTCTGTAAGGAGCTGGACGCTATCCTTGGCGGTGACCCCACCTCCACCAACAAGAGACCTCTGGATACTTCAGAGGGCATGGAGGCAGTGCACAGAAGACCTAGCCCGGAGGATGAAACTGTAGATGAGGTGATTGTGGCTGATGTGGACCAGGAGCTCTTCCCCGGATATATCTGGCAGCCAGGAACTGTTCTCCACTGCTGACACACATAGCCGGTCTGAGCAGTCACTTTCCGGGGATCAAGAAGCAGATGATGAGATGCGGGGTAAGTGGCTGTGGCTTGTGCAGGGCCAAGGGTGTGGAAAAGTGGAAGGCTGGCTGTGTTTCTGTGAGCTGTATGTACCCGTGTAGCTAATCCATATGGCCAAGCACGATGATGATGCACTCTGTGATCTCAGTGGAACCCTGAAAGGACAGGCCATCGAAACTTTTGGAGAGGAACTTGTAAATGTTCTGCCTAAGGTTCCATGGCAGTGAGCTTTGTCCCCTCCCTCATTGTAGGACACCAGGCCATACCATTAACCAATCACTTGTGCAAGAACCAAAACGGAGCATAGGTGGACCACATATGGAACGAGACAAAAGCCACAAGCCTGGAGAAATTGTGCCCTGGTTTTCTTGCTTACCTTGAATAGGGAGATGTCTGCCAAGGTGTAACCTACCAGTGGAGAAGTGTGGCATAATTAGAACTGTTTCTGGAAAGGGAATTTTTGAGCCCTGACTGGTTTTTCTTTTGTCTATATGCACGACTTCCAGCCACCGCCATCCCATCACTACTTACGATAAGTGAAGGTCATGCCAAAGATCCATCTTGCCCAGTATCCTGTCCTTTGACTTTGGCCAATGCCAGATGCACAAGAACCAAAACGGAGCATAGGTGGACCACATATGGAACGAGACAAAAGCCACAAGCCTGGAGAAATTGTGCCCTGGTTTTCTTGCTTACCTTGAATAGGGAGATGTCTGCCAAGGTGTAACCTACCAGTGGAGAAGTGTGGCATAATTAGAACTGTTTCTGGAAAGGGAATTTTTGAGCCCTGACTGGTTTTTCTTTTGTCTATATGCACGACTTCCAGCCACCGCCATCCCATCACTACTTACGATAAGTGAAGGTCATGCCAAAGATCCATCTTGCCCAGTATCCTGTCCTTTGACTTTGGCCAATGCCAGATGCACCAGAACAGGTAATCATCTTCTGCCAAACAGAGGCTAGGGACACCATTCCTGTCTATCCTGGCTAACAGCCATTGATAGACCTATTCTCCATTAATTTATTTTGCTCTTTTTTTTTAACTGTGTTGTAGTCCTAACCTACACAATATCCTCTGGCAGGAATTTCCACAGATTGACTCTGCACTGTGTGAAGAAGTACTTCCTTTTGTTAATTTTAAACCTGCTACCTATTAACTTAATTTGGTGACCCTTACTTGTGTTATGGGAATGAGTAAATACATTTTTGGTTTACCGCCGTCGAAAGAAAAGCCGCGTTCTTTCGATTTAATTTCGAAAGAACGCAGGTGAAGTTTTTTCGGAAAAAGGCTACTTTTCCCAAAAAAAAACCCTGAGTCTGGACACAGCCCTAATGATTTGTGTTGCCTTTCTCTTTTCCAATTCCAAGATACCTTTCTTGAGATGAGGCAACTACTACTGTATTCAAGATGAGGGCCTACCATCCATTTACATAGAGGCAATAAGATATTCTCTGTCTTATTCTCTATCCTTTTTCTTAATGATTCCTAACACTTTGTTTCCTTTTTTCACTGCTGCTGCCCATTGATTGGATGTTTTCAGAGAACAATCAAATGACTTCAAGATCTCTCTCTTGAGTGGTCTAAGACAGTGGTTTTCAAAAACATTTTTTTCCTCATAACCCAGTTGAAGAAAATTGTTGATGCCTGCTACCCAACATAATTTGACTAGTGTGTGGGCTCCAGGGTGGGGGCTGAGTATGGGAGCTTTAGGGGTGTGTGTGTGGGGGGAACTGTGGCAGGAGGGTTTACCTTTAACAGTTGCCAGTCAGTGGTGAAGTGGGGATTCTAAGGAAGGCTTCCTGTCTCTCCTGGCACTGCAATTCATGCTGTGCCCCAGAAGTAGCCAAAAGCAAGTTCCCAGCCAATAGGAGTGTGGAACTAGTGCTCACAGCAGGGGCAGTGTGAAGAGCCCTGTGCACTCTCCTTCCCCCTTCCTCTCCCCCTCCCCCCCCGTCCTACTTAGGAGCCAGGCCTGTTGGCAGCTACTTCTGGGGTGCAGCGTAGTCTGCAGTGCCAGGACAGGCAGAGGTAGCCTCAGCACCCCCACTGGTCACCTGATCACTCTGCAGCAATGAGACACAGTGCCTGACATTCCATGACCCAGGGTCAAAATCCAGGGTCAAAACCCGTAGTTTGAAAACCTCTGATCTAAGCTTGAGCTTATTTAGTCCCAGTCATTTTATATGTATAGTTGGAATTATGTTTTCCAGTATGCATTACTTTGCATTTATCAACATTAAAAACCATTGGTTGCCCAGTCGCCTAGATTTGTGAGATCTTTTGGAAGCTCTTCACAGTCTGCTTTGGACTTAACTATCTTGAGCAGTTTTGTATCATCTGCAGAGTTGTACCCCCTTACTGTTTTTCCCTTTCTTCAGATCATTTCTGAATATGTTGAATGATTAAAGTGCTTGCTGAGAGGTGTTCTTTGCAAAATCAGTGGGAAGTGAGTGGAAATGTTGAAAAAAGTGTTTGTCGGTGAAATGTTACAGTGGAGGACTCGATGTTCAGACTCCTTTTTGTGCACTTTGCCGAACAGAGACTTTGCCAGCCCCTATGTGCACTACGTCAGATAAGCTGCAACAGATAAGGACATGTCCTTGGAAAACAGGGAGGCTTTAGTTCACAAAGTGCTAAATCAATCAGTGAGAAACTGCAGATAACAGGAACAATCCTCGAAAGGGAGCTAAGGAATTACAAGGACAATCAGGCCTTTACAGGCAGGCCATAGAACAACCAGGGTAACAGGAACAGACTGAGATCCTGAAGTGCTTAGTGAAGCTGCACAGTGAACCAACACAGGATCCTCCTTCCCCACAGCAGATTCAAACTTCTGTGTCCAGCAACTGCCCTGTAGGCCCTCACATTCCTTTTCCCTTTGCAAGTTCTCGTTTTCCCATGTACTCCACCCCCTCTCTCAACTTTGATTATGATCCCTGGACCTACACACATTTGAAGGATGAAATCCTTTGCCAGCATTTCCTTTACCAGCTATCGAAGGTGCTTTGAAGTGTTTCAGTGCATTATTTCCTGATTAATAAAGACTGTTTATAACAGTTCTATGTTTTTATTTACTCTTTAATGTTGCAGACCAGTCACCTTTAATGCCTGCACCTGGGATTGTAGTATGTTCCCAGCTATGTGTTACATTGGAGGGGAGGAGGTGCAGTGTGGAAGCAACTGTTACAGAGGTTTACAGGGGTATGTAAACAGCTCCCAAGTAATCTAAACAGCACAGGGTCACAAGTAGGATATATGAGTCTCTTACCCTTCTCCCTTAAAGAAAATGCTGCTTCATATTTATGCTGGATTAGCTTTCATCAGAATCTGGGCTACAGCATGTGATCATAGTCTCCCAACCACACTGTACACTTTTACTAAAATAAGGAAACTAAAAAGTTCTTGGTCCACTTTTTCCACTTGACATAAATTTCTGTAATTCCAGCGGAGCTGTATCAATTTAAATCATGTTCAACTTCAGAAATCTCCAACTTTGCACATAATGATTAATTGCAGGAAAGTACCTAATTTCCTCTTGCTGACCTTTTTTGACACTAATTCTTTGCTATTTAATATCATGTAGTTTATATCTCCTGTGCACCCAGGTCAAAGAGCTGATCCAAGGTGTAGAATAGATTATCTCTATCATGTCACAGTAGATTGGTTTCATATTTTAACTTGGCAGGGTACTTCTAAGGTGAACAATATGTGGAGAACTATGTTATACATGTTTACTAGAGGACTAACAAAGACAGCTCCTGTGTCCGTTACCTTCACTAGATACCTGATTTCTGATCTGAGTCAGCAGAGAAGTTGTAGCCAGGCCATTCTTCTTAACTCAGAATGGCAGCATAATTTGCTGCTGCCATCACCTTTGGGAAATCCCAACTGTTTCTTTTTAGTGAAATATTTGGTATTGTAGTACACAGACACTCAAGAAAATTCAGGCCTCATTGCATTGTACTCTGTACTATGATGATTGGAACAGCGTTGGTTTGGCAGTGGCCATGATCAGAAATAACTAGCTTTATTAATTTTCTTCTGATAGTTTTGGGCATGTCTCATTTAAATGGATAATGTTGGTATCCATTATAAACCTATCAACAGTGCCTTTCTTTAGAGTTTACCCAATCGAAAAAGTAATGAAAATCTCAATGGAAGGTTGTGAACCACTTGTAAAATCTGAGAGCCACATTCAGAGACTCAAACAACAGCCATTATGGAAAAGTCCGACAGAACCTAATAGAAAACAGTATTTATTTTTTATTATTTTAAGCCAACCTATAGAATCCTATTGTGGGTTACAATTATCTTTTGCATTCTGTAGGTTGGCTTAAATGTTCTATAGACAATTATGCTTTTTTTTCTGTAACATTCTCTAGATTTTGATGCCTCTAGAATCTAAAATATATGTAAACCTTTGGTTTTCTCTCATTCAATTCTATAGGCATCTTTCACATGGAAAAAAAGTGTAAGAACATGTAAATGGAAGTAGTTTTTGCTTCCCCCACTTTGTTTTTCATCTGAATTCCTGCTCCCTGACCTTATGCATGAAAGTTGCCCAATCTGGGTCTTAAATCCTGCTCCCATGGAAAGCGCTGGGGACTCTGCCATTGATTTTAATAAGTCTTGGATGTGAAACTTGAACCACATTACAGATCATCTCTGAATCTGACCCATTATCTTAGCTATTACAAGCTTTTTATATCCAAAACCCACAATATGGGCTCATTGCATACAATGAGTTTTGGTTCTAGGACAGCAAAAACAATCTGTAATAACAAAACTACTTCCCTTGTTGGGTGTTTTTTCTCTCATAGAACTGAAAAATGGCCCAATAAATGTCAGCCAGATTTAATAATATTAATAAAAAAGTCTCCTGCTTTATACTTTGTGTGCCAGACTTCATTCTGTGAAATAGTAAGACTGAATACTAATAAATCCATGAAACAGCTGATTGAACTCTTCAGAAATATTACAATCAAGAAATGATAAGTATTATGATAAGATAGGAGCAGGTTTCCTTTGTAAGTATGAAGAGCAGTGAAACAGTACCTTTAACTCAGGAAGTAATGCTGTCTGTGCACCTTCTCCGGAGGGATGTGAGAAGTAACAAGGAATGGAGTTGACTTTTTTTTTTTTTTTTTTAACATCACTGTCCCATGGACTACTTCATTTCAGACATGCAAAGCAAGTTGGAACACTGTGTTATTTTTCAAATGGATGAGTGGAAATGACGCACCATGGAAAAGATGCCAAAAGGTTCCCAGAAAAAAACTTTATCAATAGCATTTTTTTCATCTCTTTCATAATAGGATTTTAGAATGCATAAGACTGATTTCCTGCTAGTCTCTTTTAGGGCTCTTGCCAGTATGTTTAACCTTTTTCCAGGGAAGAATTAGGAAGATATTTAATTTCCGTGACAGAAAAACAACTATTGCTCTTTTTCTAACATTTTCTTTCATACAGTTTTTCAGTCTCCCCAGTTATTTATCATATGTCTACAGTTTGCTTAATTGGACTTTGAGGGGTTATCAGTTCCAGCAAAACAGTCATTGGGAGATGCAAAACATTTTTTTCCTATTAGCCTTGCCAGTGGCTAAAATTTGTT